GCTCAAAAACATATTTTGTCTAGAAATAGGTATGTTTTGCACAAACAATATTGTGGCTGCAATCCTGTATGGATCATTTTACTGTACTAGACTGAGCCATATACCATCTTCCCAACTGCTTCTGAACTGAAGTGCCTCTGAAGCCCTGTTGCCTGACTGTTGCATGTTTTGTGAGGAGCGGGCAAGATTTCAGAAGCATTTAGCTGTGTTCCCATATACAGACACAAAATAATTACAGAAGCACTGAAAACACTGAAAGACCCTAGCAGATCTCAATGCTGATATCATTATTGGAAGTCTGGCTACAAGGATGCCACTCCACACAAAATGTCCATGTGTTGGGCCTCCTAAGTTGTGGGCTTTGGGTGCTGTGGAGGGGTGAAAAGTAATGGTAACTCTCACATTGCCCCTCCCTAAAGGACATATACACATGTAAGAGAAACTTGAACATGTGCTATGTTCCTAACAGGAAGCTAGTCATTTTGTGGAATCTTTTCTTTTTAAACAAAAAGTGCTGAAAAGTGAACAATTTGTGGCAATTGACTATTTTCTTGATGGAGTATCTTAGTGTGTTGAGACACCCTTTATCACTGGGAAAGAGGGGGAAAATGTGAGTATTCTTTATAGTCCTATTCTATAGTCTCAAATAGAGACTCACTTGTAGAATTAACTGGTTTTTGTTTTGTTGTTGTTGTTGTTGTTGTGTTGTTTTGTTTTCATGAAATTTCAGCAAATGGGCAATGACTCTGGGAATTTCTGTATGCAAAGCTTATTGTTGTATCACTGAACAATAGCTAATAGCTGGTTCTTAGTCTCTCCACATGATGTGAACTTTGTTCTGGGACCTCTCCAGTTCTCCTGAGAACTACAAACTTACTTGGTCCCCATAAATGTCATCTGTCCTCTTTTCACTTCTTGTAATGAGGAGATTAACAAACCATATGAGGTTACTGTAGTAAGGACTGATATGTACAAGAAGTGGTTTGACTACTGAGGAAGAGCTATTCATCCATCCATCCACACATCCATCCATTTTAAAATAACTAACTATTTATACATTGCGTAGACCCCAAAAACTGAGAGTGGGAATGAGTAAATTGAGAGTGTGCATCAGTAAAGATAAATTACACACACGACACAAATATATCCTATACACATTAACATGTCCTGTCAGCTTAGGTGTCTGTCAACGTATGTGACCTCATGAATTTCATAGGGTTTTCTTAGTCAAGGAATACTCAGAGATGGTTTGTCCTGTTCTTTCCTCAGACAGATAGAATCTCACCACTAGAAGTGAAATATTTGGCTGTGAAAATTCCTCCCTTCCAAGGCACATTTATTTCACACATAATGACGGTGGAAGTTATGTAGACTTCTAGTTACAGTTGTAGAAAGGCAACTCTTAACCAATCCTCACCATTTGCTATACTGGCTAGGGCTGATAGATATTGCAACCCAGCAAAAACTGGATGGTCTCATGATTCCCACCCTTTCCCTGCATGAAAGGTGTTTACATTGTATTGATTTCAGGGGAATTTCTAAATGAATGGGCAAAAGACTGTAGTCAAGGTCAGCAAAAAAGACAAAACTAAATTCAGAGGAGACTGAAACTCACCACCAGGTTTGACCCAATAGGTAGGATATTTCCTGTTTGGGGCCCATCAACGCTGATATCTCTTGGCAGAACTCAGTGTTCTGAACTACTGGTTTACTTTATAAGCCAAATGTTCCAATGGCAGCAGGTGCTTGCATAGGAGCACTAGGGTGCATCAAATGGGTCCCTATGCTGCCAATCCAAAAGCACTCCATGTATCTATTCCATATTGCCCTGTGTGGTGATTAGAATGTCCAACTGGCCTATCAGGAGGCATCTGAGGGCCAACCAATAGAATTCAAGCTGGGAGCACTTGAAAAAAAATCAATCTGACAGTTGGAGAGAGCAGTTGGGGATTGGGGAGAGTTAAGCTAGAGAGAGAAAGAGAGCTGCATTTCTGGGAGTTTCTGAGGGAACTGTAAATTTTTTTAGTTGGAGTCCAGACGGGAGGGACTCGAGACACATACAGAACTCTAAGGAAGGGAGTTGCAGTTGTGTTATATCTTGAGGGATATTGCTAGCCTGTGTGGCTGAAATATTAAGAGGGAATTGGAAATAAACATTGTTTATACGTAACTAAGAGAAACTATAGTGACAAGCTTTGATACAAGTTATATTTATTCCATTCTGTTCTAGAATAAACTTTTATTCTCATTTAAACATCACTTGGCCTATGTTTTCAAACCAAACCGCACTACTAACCTTTTAAAGCTTTTAGTGTGGGTCTTTTATACATATGTGGGTGGCAGCGGTGGAATAACAAAAACCTCAGGGCTGCCATCTTAAAAAAAAGTCAGTGCTAAGGTGAAAGGTGGCAAGAGGATTTGCCACACCCTGCTTCATGTAGAGAAGAAAGAAAGATCAAAGAAGAGATGGAAGATGTAAAAAGTTACAAATGAGAGACAACACTATGTGCACACTGCCCCTTGCTCTATAAAATTTCATGTTTCAAATAGGTAATTATGGGTGACCTTGGGCAAGTCATAGTCTCACAGTCTCAAAGGAAGGCAAAGGCAAACCCCTTCATCTTCATCTCATCCTGCTTGACTTCATTGTACTATATCACAGAAAGATTGTTATTGTACTGTATCACAGAAGGATAATGCGGGAAGCAGAAGAACCATTCTGTCACTTTGAATACACTTTGAATGTAAGGTAGGATGCAAATACAATTAATAGCAAGCAAAAGTTTTCACTCTTCTCTGCAAATTCTTCAAAGATTGTTCTTATCACTTCAAAAGTCTTTGAAACAATAGCAGAAGTTAGCCAGACACTGAAGAAGGAATGAAATACCTCACACCCTATCTATGGTAATACCTTGCCTCCTGCATGCGTCTTTGTTTCATATTAGTAAGCTACTTATATCTAAGCAGATCCTGGTTCTGTCTAACTTCACATCTTCTAAGCATATGTCCCCTTTCAGATGCTCAACAGCAACTCCCATCATCCTAGTCAACAATGGGTGAGTTGTTGGGAATTGCAATCCAACACCATATAAAGGGTTATGATATTCTCTATCTTTGGCCTGACTAGACTAACCAGCAATGACTCACAGGTTGAACCCAAATTCTTTGATGTGCTATGCTCCACCACTGAGTTATGTCTCTTCACAAACAGTTCACCATCCTTCTCACCATCTATCTCACAGGTTTTTAGAACCCATCAACAAAGTTATCCTCAAACAGGTTTAATGCAAAATGTTAGATAACATTAGACAATATCCTTTGTTTTTTTTCCATTTGTCATCTCACAAATGGGAGTGAACTGTTTCTGACCATGTTAAAGAACAGAACTTTTACATTTTTAAAAAAGAAGAAGCAGGAATTCATTAGGCATGCTAGCTGTCCTAATTCAGATGAACACCCTTCTAACTTATGACTCCCTCCTTCCAGTCCTTCCTTTGATACCCTTATTTTGCTTAACCACAGTTCAGAATATTTCGAAACTATGTTATTAATCTACAGAAGATAGTAAACAGCTGGAAGTTAACTTTCCTAAAAGCTCCATACAGTCTGTCAGAGACACTGTCTGGGCCAAAGCAGAAGACAACACTATTCTTCTGCCTGGCCCACTCCCTCCACTAGCAAAAAAATCCAGCAAATGGATCTTGTTTGAATCAGCCTCTTAGCGATGTCTGGCAGAATCTTCAATTCCGTGAAGATGAAGTATTCTGAGAGACACAAAGGCTAAATGCTGGCTTATTTTCTGTTGACAAGAACAGTGTTCCCATCCCATCTAAGCCATGGTAGACACATAGAGAATGACAGGGTGGAATGCCAGGAAGAAGGCCCTAGACAGGAAGCCAATGTGCCCCCGTCTGGCCTACTTACATCATCCCCACCCTGTGCTTGTTGTTTGTGACATCCCACAGGAAAGTCAAGTTGGGAGAAATAGTTGGCATCTATACAGTCCCCGAATACTCAAAGAATCTCTCACAAAACTTTGAAAAGCCAATCAGTTTATCTATTAAAAGTTTTGTGAGACATACTTCTCATATTCAGGGAACGTACTGATGTCAACTATTTATCCAACTTGACTTTTCCTTATGTTCCAACATTTTATGGACTGAGACACATGTGGCCAAGCAACATCAGAGTGTTGTCATAATGGCAAACATTATTCATGGGGAATAATAGACAAGCTAGGAGAGGGTGCAGCAGTTTGCTTTTTCCTGAGCCTACTGGGAGGGGCAAGACTTCATCCTTTCTTCTCCTTCCACTTAAATGAGTGCAAATGACTTTTGCCTTCTAAACTCAGTTTGCAGCAATTGAGTTAAGTTGAGAACAAAGGTAGAAAGTGGGAGGAGAAAATAGAAACTGGGCATTTTCTAAGTAGCTGAAAAGTGTGGGGGAGTGATAAAAATTAATTGGGATTGTCATTGCCAAACTGGGACAGTTGGGGGTTTCTTTTTGTTGTTCCTGTTGTGTACCTTCAAGTAATTTCAGACTTATGTGGGAGTATCGTAAAATTTTAATTATCACCTTTAAAAAAAATTGGACAGAAAGTTTGTTTTCATTTGTAGTTGTTAACTTATCTCTCCATAGTCACCATGAAGATTTATACATTTTTCTCAGTTTTTCTTGACCCTCCAAATACCGTTATTGTAGAAGTCTGCAGATTGCTGCTTAAACCACTCTTCCACTTCATGAATGACATCATTTGTGTTGTCAAATCAGTGACCCCACAACAGATTTTTCATTTTGAAAAATAAAAAGTCACTTGGTGATGATGACACTGACAAAATTTGATCAATATACCATAATAACTTCCAGGTGATAATTAATACTTTACAATACTTCCTCGTATGGTGACCCTACCAAAGGATTTTCTTGACAAGATCTGTTCAGAGGTAGTATGAGTTTGCCTTCCCTCTGAACTGAAAACATATTACTTGTTCAAGGTCATATATTTGAGCAGGGATTTGAACCCTGGTCTCCAAAGCTATAGTCTGATGCTCAAATCACTACACCACACTGGCTCTCATGAGGGTATGCCTTTCTAGGTCCTACAGTGTTGTCAGTTATTATAATAGCTGAGATTTTAAAAACTTTTTCATTTCTCATTTGTCAAAAGTAATTCCAGTAGTGACTTTTTGTAACTTAAAAAAGATCTGACTGCTATAAACCATTGGCTTGTGGTAGAAAATGCACCTTCCTCCTATCCATCTTATGATCTCAGTGCCCACAACAGAGCATAAGGTAACAGCACAGAGGACACTAGGGACCAGCACTGGAATTATATAATTTAATAATTATTATTTAATATAATATATAATATTTGTACTCCTCTTTATTGACACATTCCCCAAACTCAAAAAGTAAGTGCAGTCTACATATAAAGAAAGTAAAATTACATTTTAAACCTAATATGAAAATATAAGTTGCTTTGAATACACATTGAAGTTACAGTGTCCATATTCCAAGGATTTACTATTGCATAGGCAATGAAGTTTAAATTCTTTGTGGTATACATTGCATACCTAGATAATGCAAGATTATCAGCTCATCTCAAGAGTGTAAACACATTTTTTTAAAAAAAGCCTATCAGATAAATTGTTCAAAGATGGCTAACAAAATACAGAATATCTGTGGTGTCAGAGGGGGGGAATCCTTTTTCTAAAATTTGAAGCAGGATTTCTTTCTCTGAGGCATTAAAGATGGGCAAGATTGAAGAAAAGACAGGGTGGACTGTTCGAAAAGAATTTCTCCCCAGAACTTAACAGACAGATCCATCTGATATCTGCATTTGAAGATAGAAAAGAACCTTCTCCAAAGTAAGATTAGCAGTTCTACAATGATGGAATTTTGCCCTGCACTCAGACTGAACTAAATGTAGAACCTAATATTTCTTTGTCTGGAATAGGGAATTCTAGTCCTTGTAGCACATTGTAATCTAAATAATAAGCAATATGTCTTCAATTATACAAGCACATCTACTGAGATTATGTCAAGAAGTATGCCTCCATATCAGAGTGAATGGATTTAACTAGGTCAAGGTCTGGCAAATTCCCAAAATATATTGGAAACCCCTCAACCCACCAGTGGTCTCATCACTACCTTTGCTGTGACAGTAAGGGGCAGCCACAGAGATTCAGCTCCTACTGTTGAGACTGACATCACTGAAACAGCCATGGTTCCTCACCCCATCTCTTTATACTGAGGGGTTGTGGGCTCTTTGCTATTTGTCAACTAATCTGTATTTGTCTGGGTTCCCTTTTATCACCCTCAAGCTGGCTGGGCATCCAACGTGTGCCCAACATTAAAATATAAACAGGCAGAGTTAACATCAGCACTTTGCATAAGCATTCTTAAGTACTGGAATCTCAGAATATTTACACGGGAGAATGAGCAGGCTCTCTGTTAGTTTTTTCAGCTATTTATTATAGGCAATCATAGATATGCAAACATTCACATTCTCCTAAAGGAGAAACATAGACATGTCAATGTCCAGGCACATTGCTTTCATTACATCATATTGCATGTAAGACATCATACATTCATTACATTACAGCATATGGTAAGTAAAATATTTAAACTTTTATATATTTATACAGGTAGAGCCTGTATTCCCTCTGCATCTCTTTAGCAAGCTTCTCTATACTTAACCCATAAAGGAATATTACCATTTTAAACATATCCATTCATCCATTAAAAAATACAATCTCATCCATTGAGAATATATCTATGAAAACACAGGCATCCCAGGGATTACTATCCCCAAGCATTGCTATATCTAGCATCATTTGTTATATATCTATAAACATAATAGACATCCATTACAATTATAATGGAAAATATATCTATTTAGTATAGGCTAGTTGAGAGCAGATATTCTCTCTTACCAGCATGGTCAGTCTATCAGCTAGAAATAATGATATTGGCATGGGCTGCCTAACAGCCACATCTGTGTAGAAGGCTCAGTCATTACACTTCTATCTCTTCTCAGTTTGTTTTATATCTTTCCTAGTCTATCAGCTGACCTATCTTGCCCAGTCAAAACAGAGATTATAGCTACATAAGCAATTAGTCTCCTCCCTAGAGATGATGTAACACTAGATTCAGTTGACAGCCTTCACATTAAATCAGCCGTCTGCCTGCATCAGTCATTCTCTTTAACATAGCACCTGTCTTCGGGTTCATTATTGGTCAATTCATTGCATATACTATCATATCTTGTTTATAATTATGTTGGCTTTTGGCTTAGAACTGGCCTGTGTCTATGCTCCATGCAACACATACATATTCTACAATACACAAAACTTTCTGCTTTATGTTTTATGCTTAAATTTTGCATACTAGAATGCAAATCAGCATGCACCCTGTATAACACTGTAATTGTCACCAATTTTTTGTGGTAACAGTACTCTAGTGCAGGAAGATTCCAGTATACCTCAAGCATCACAGAGCCCTGCAGATAATAAAACATTTGAAGGGAAGGGGGCAAAGGGATTTATTGTAGCAGCATGCTTGTAATGGCATAGATACCAGCATCAACATTTATCAATGGTGGTAAGCAGAGCCAGCAGTGAGTACACAAATGAATGGGGGGGGGGGTTTCCACATTTTTCACACCACTAGATTCGATGGTCGTTATATATGAAACTCTATTAGTTGCATAGCCAATGAAAAATTTGCAGTCCTAGCTGACATTGAATCAGTTATTGAGTGGTTAATGATTCAATGAATCTACCCTAATCCTGATTAACAATAGGATTTAGGCCATTGATGCTTGGATAATTCCTTAATAAGGAAAGATCGCTATCTCATTTAAAACATCATGTGGCCCTTCAGATATTGTTGGATTGCCATTTCCAGCATTCCTCTGATTATGGGCCTTTGCAGCCCGGCAAAAAGGGCCGGCCTGGAAGCAGAGATGGGGAGGGGCAGCCGCACGCTGGCCACCCCAACCCCAGCCTGATGATGTCCTGATGCTGTGCACCGTTACACATGGTGCACAGTGTCAGGACATCCTCCCGGTGTAGCGTCCTGACACGCTGCACCGAAAGGGACAAGAAAGAGCCACACACTGGCTCTTAGGGTGCCCTTTTGCCACCCCTGAAAGGAGCAGCATTTTGCCATTCTTTTTGGGGCAGCAAAAGGGAGGATCAGTGCCACGGCATGTGGTAGCCATGGCCCCGATCCTCTGCTTCCCAGGGTGGCCTAGAATCATTCATCTGCAGACCCCCTACATTAGCTAGGGCTGCTGTTACAGTCCAATAACATCTGGAGGGATTCATGATTCCTACATCTGACAACAGTATAACATGATATAGCATTGTTCCAGAAATATGATTCCTTCTCCCACAACTGTGACTATGACTGAGATACTGCATTGCATTGCTACATTATAAAGTTTGCCAGGCATAATTATGTGTCTTGCCCATCTGTGCATGGACCCACACTCCTTGGCTTGGTGCCCTTTCATCATGGCTGTCTAGTGGTCAGGAAGGAGAGAGGACAAACAGTAAACAGCCTCCAGACATCCCCATTCCTGGAGGTAGCTACCTCCTCTGAACAAATCATGCCAAGAAAAAAACCATTATAGGGTTTTTTTAGGGTTGTCATAAATTGGAAATGATTTAAAGGCACACAACAACAACAACAACACATGAAGAAGATGTCACATGAAAGCCCCCATCCTTGCAGGTCCAGAGGGATGTTTTGTTTGTTTGTTTGTTTATTTTTCTTCTTGTGGACAGATGCAGGAGCAGAGTCAGTTGGATGTCTGGTTGTCACTTGTCCTCCTTCACTGAATGTCTGGGAGTGGAATATTCAAACAGAGAAAAAGAAGATGGCTATGGGAGAGAGTCATGCTGAATGGTGCTAAAGTCCTCAGTCTGCTATGACCAAAACAGTAAATACACTCTGTCACTAACACGATGCCAGTTTTTGTGTTCTTTCATGTCAAACCCTGTTTTTGGAACACACTTCATGTCTCTAATCATCAGTCACAGTTCATTCTGCTTAGTCTTTGCCCAAACCTACATCTTTATCAGAGTTTTTCTTGTGCCTTTGTACCCTCAGCCTACTTGCTTCATCCATTTGACCCATTCCATCCCCACCACTTACTGTCAACCCCTGGGCTTTTCTCATGTTTCCATGCTAACTGTTGATTCAAATTTGTGGACTGTGAGGGAAGTCTTCCTCAACCTGACATCCTCTAGATATGCTGGACTACAATTTCCATCAAGTCAAGATAGATTGGTCATTGCTGTGCTGTTTTAATTAAATTTAGTGTGTTGCATAATGGAGCTTTGGAAGTGCAGCCCTTCCTTTTGAGATATCTTCTCCATCTCCAAAGTCTAACATGGCATGCCAATAAATTGCCAGAATTAAAAGGCAAATTAGGACTCTGAATGTTGGGGCAGGGCCTGAACTTTATTTGGAAAAAGCCAAGGGGAAAATTGTATTCAATACAAAAGGATTGGTGTATGTACAGTCAGAAGATGGATCCTCTCCCCACCCTCCTTTTTTTTTCTCTGTCTTTTGAGCAACAACATATAATGCAAAACTGAAATAAAGCCAGGCAAAAATTAAGGCCAACTAAGTGCTGCCATATAAACATTTGTGAGTGAAGGCAAAGCAACAAGGTACATGCACAGATAATGGCTGGAGACTGAAGTTAGAAAAATTATAATTGGAAATGGAACAAAAACTGTCTGGACGGCAAGAATAAGTCACCACTGTAGCAGCCCACCAAAGGAAACAGTAAATTCATCATCACTTGCAATCTTGAAATTGAGACTGGCTTGCTTTCTGAAAGATATGCTCTACTTAAAGCACAAATTGTTGGACTCAGTAATATTCACTTGATGCTCGGAAAGACAGCTAATTCCTTCCAGGGAAAGACTGCTAAGGGAAAATTCCACCAGCTGTGTTGAAGAAAAAGGTCAGACTAGATGCCTCTGGTGTTCTAGGATGGCTGAAGAAAGTATAGAAACAGTATACTGGTCAAAGACCGAATAAAATTATGTACATG